CCATATTCTGGCTACTTTTGAATGAGAAAGAGGTAAAAGCTACCTCTTGAGTTGGGGTAGTGATGTCTTCCCTCTCTGATCCCAATTTGTCTTCTGATCTTCTGAATATCCACCTCTTCCTGGACCCCGTACCCCCTTACTAAGCTGCCAGAGCCACAGAGGCCCTTAGTGGCACATCGAGCAGCAAGAGAAAACTCACAGGACCCTGGAATTCTGTTCTGACACTCTATAACTTGAAAACTAGTGATTAGAAGGGACACACACACACATACACACACACACACATACACACCTTCATCAACAAAGTGGCACTTTCATTTCAGCTGTTCCTGGGGGCAAAACAGCAGAAAAGATAAATCCTATAGATTGAAAGCTTTGTGGTTATCTCCGTTTCTCATTAAAGTGCCCTTGATTATAATCACACCCACGATTACAAGATTTAACACACCTGGTCTTCAGGATGCACCAGGAAGAGGAATCATACATTCATCTCGTCCCGTTTCCTTTTCTTTAGTCACTGAGTAAGCACAATTTATAAATTTCTGTGAGTGCAGAATAGAGCTGGTTTGGAGAACAGGAGAGAGGTTTTCCATTCACATGGCTTTTTGAAAGTGACAATCATCTTCCACGGCCACAAATTATGTTAGCACCGGTGAGACCTGGAGTGTTGCTTTCATTGGCTACACACAGATGTGAGATATCTGAGTAGGGTTTCTATTTCTTCTCTCACTTTGCAAATCAGACACATTCTCTCTCTTTCCCTCCCTTCCTCACTCAGGGTGTGTGTGCCCTTGTAGAGGTTTTCTTTTTTGCTACTTTAGTAAAAATTCATTTTTATTCATAGAAAATAAACACTTATTCCAGTTTCAGTTGTTATACCTGATGTTGCTAATAAAAAAAAATTTTAAATAATCACTTAATCCTGTTTTGACTGAAACAATTGAAACTGTGGCTTAAAAAACATATTCAGCACCATTTGCTCATAGGCCTTTCAGTATCTGTTCTTAATGTTTCTGGAACTTTCCTGTCTGTAGAGTACAGGAATTACTGAGCTACATGAGAAGGACTCTCCGGAACAACCAATGAGAACGTAAGCAATTGTCATAAAAGGAACCCATGTACATTCAGCACGGTAGCCTAGATGATACGATCCCCTCTCCTCCAGCTCAGGAGGGGCGTGCTCCTGAGCACTGAGGGATGAAGAGTCTTACTGTTATCTGCTGTTAGAATTAGCTAATAACAGTAAACCTCTGGCTCAGATGCTACTGGTCCTCAATATCCTGTGATTTTAGGAAATTCTATAAATAGTTTGCATTTAATTCAATTTATTCAGAAATTAAACCTATGTGGGGCACCTGGGTGGCTTAGTCGGTTAAGCGTCCGACTTTCGCTTAGGTCATGATCTCGCGGTTCGTGGGTTCGAGCCCTACGTCGGGCTCTGTGCTGACTGCCAGCTCGGAGCCTGGAGCCTGTTTCAGTCTGTGACTCCCTCTCTCTCTGACCCTCCCCTGCTCATGCTGTCTCTCTCTCTCTCTCTCCTAGAAATAAATAAAACATTAAAAAAAAATTTTTTTTTAAAGTTAAAAAAAAAAAGAAATTAAACCTATGTAATAAGGTTCACCACTCTGCCAGAGTATCTCCTGGTTTGGTATCCTTATAAAATACGTGTAATACTTGCAGGTAAATCATAGTCTTAAAGTATACTCAGAATACTGCATTATTCAAACCAAAACCTATTTTAACAAAATGTCTATAATTAAAAGTAGCTGATGAAACAAAATCCAAAGTTACGACAAGGGAGACTCACTCTCAATAAGCTGTGTTGCTTAGAGAACTTTAAAAAGCATGTGCCCTGGGGCGCCTAGGTGGCTCATTCGGTTGAGCCTCTGACTCTTGGTTTTGGCTCAGGTCAAGATCCCAGGGTCTTGGGATCCAGACCGGCAGGGAGCCCTGCATTGGGCTTCACACTGAGTGTGGAGTCTGCTTAAGATTCTTTTTCTCTCCCTCTGTCCCTCTCCCCGACTTGTACTCTCTGAAATAAAAATAAAAATAAAAACATAAACATAAATAAAAGGCATGTCACCTTAAAGCCATTCAAATACAGGTAGGGCACACCCTCTCCTCATTTTTTACCATAGGATTCCAATCGAGGATGGTCCAGAAATTAGCATTTCTAAATATTTCAGAAAAGTCCATAGAAATATTAAAAAGACTTTTAAGACTCTCTGTCTTCTCATACCAGTGAGCAGTAGTGCTCCTCAGAATTTCCTAATAGAGCCAAGACAAAGGCAAGTCACACACTCGCTCAGATGTTAGAAGAATGGGGGGGTGACTACTGGGTCACCCTTAGCCAGAGCTTCTCCAGCCTTTTAACTATATGCTGACGGCCAGTGTGGGTCAGGTGGACTTCAGTGAGAGAACAGTGCTTGGTGGTCAGGATCTCTTTGTACATTTCTTCCTAAATGGAATACACAACAGGTTAGGGAGTAGAGGAGGTAACACAGGGAAATTACTCTTTCCAGCTCAGAAGGAGTGGAGTTGATGAAGCCCATATATGCATTCAAGAAGCCCATGGAATCCTCAAGCTCTAGAGAGTGGCCATCTAGAACTGAGACTGTGGACCATGGGAACATTTTCCTGCACAGCTCCAAAAACTCTGGATAGAGATTCACGGGATCCAATGGCTCAAAGATAAAATGAACAGGAAAGTCACAGAAGCAAGAGCTCCCACTCAGCGTGTTCTAAATTTCTTTCTTTGCGTGATGTACCACAAAGAGACTGTTGATAACTAAGTTCCCATCATTGTTGCGTATCCTTGCTGCCCACATCCCACAGCTCACTCCCCAGAGCATCTGATGTACGGCCCATAGACTGGGGTGAGACCTTGGGAGAATACAAATACTTCATCAATCATGTGAGAATGGGTGACAGCATGCCTCCATTAAAAATTTTTTTTCAATGTTTATTTATTTTTGAGAGAGACAGAGAGTGAACATGGGAGGGGCAGAGAGGGAGGGAGACACAGAATCTGAAGCAGGCTCCAGGCTCTGAGCTGTGAGCACAGAGCCTGATGCAGAGCTCGAACCCACGAACCACGAGACCATGGCCTGACCGAAGTTGGATGCCTAACCAGCTGAGCCACCGAGGTGCCCCAGCATGCCTCCATTTTTGAGCAGCTTTTGGAAGAGAAGATGGTGAAATATACCTCCATTTGTCAGGGACTCTTTATGGTAAGTTGAGGAGATCATTTCTGCTTGAACCTATAGAGTACCTTCTGAGCAACAATATCTTTGTAATCATGAGACAAAAGGTTGATCCTCTGGTTTTGGAGCCCCAGATGCCACAAAAGTGCCTCTATAATGCTGGCCCACTCAAATACGGTGCAGTGATGCAGTCTTGGTTCGTCACTGCAACCAAAGCCCGAGAAACCAAGGGCAATCACTTGCTAAAACCTCAGGATCAGACATTCCCAAATCTTGTATGAATCACAGCTGGAAGCTGGAAGCCTGGGTAAAAGCACAACCGTCTCAGGATTTCCAACCATACTCCCAGAGTCTTGGAAGAAGATGCGCAGTCTCTCGCAGGTGAAAAATTTGCCTGACAACTGCCACGAGCAAAGAGCCGGAGAAAGCTGGTGTGCGGGGAAACGCAGATAGGCCACAAACAGGGGCAGGGCTAGCAACCCCACCCGAACGCACGCCTCCCTCATTTTGTGGAGGTGACCTTGGTGCAGCATGGCTGCGTCTTATCCCCTGCCGCCCGGCACAGCAGTTTGGAGCAGCCGGGGCCACGGTGCAAGACAAGCAGTGCGTAAGGCTAAGTACCCAGGTGTGCTGGCTACCACGGCCCACTTAACACAGTTGTACAGCCTTATTTTAATGGCACTGTAATTCATATTTTAAACTAAAATTTTATTTTGGAATAATTTTAGATTTACAGATAAGTTGCAAAGATAGCACAGAGAATTCCTGTATACTGGTCACCCAGTTTCCCCTGTTGTTAACAACTTACGTATCAATGGTTGTATTTGTCAAGGGTTTTGTAGGTCTTGAGGATGGGTGAAAAACACTTTCTCAACTCCTGCTTGTATAGCAGATTCTCATCAAGGGCAGTTTGTACCCGATAGCAATTTATTTAATTAATCTGCATTACTGAGTTGTGATCTGTGTCTCCCACACCACCATCAAGGTCCTAGATAATAACTAGGGGACAAGTGATGGATGAGTCCATGCTTGCACAAAAATGGTGTCAAGAACTCGATACAGCAAAATTCTATCATGAATAAAGCCTGTGGGTCTGACAAAACAAACACTCTTCTAATGGCTTCACTGACAGTTAAATACTGATACGCCAGCCACCGATGAGCACTGTGGATGCCAGGAAGTGAATTATTAATGTAAACTCTCTCTATAAACCCAACTGGGAATGAGTTTCCATTAAAATCAAGAGGCAAATTAATTTAGGGGTCACTCATTCTTAGCACACATATGGATACATATACTTTCTTCCCGTACTGGCCACACACTCGGGAGAAATCCAACCAAACCCATTTGGAGGAGGAAAAAAGTTTCATCTCATGGATTGAATTCACAGCTAGAGAGGAAACATTTTAAATGAGATCCTTTAGTAATTCGGTATGAACAGTGAAATGAGTCAGGGAGACAAGCTGCTAAAGTCCAGGCTACACAGGAAAGATGAGTGTGTTCCCATCAGCTCACCTGGAGCCTGCCCTCACCAGGACTCCAAGCTGCAATCTAAAAACTTGGGCTCTGCTTCTGCTTCAGCAGTGAGGGTGTAGTTTGCCTACTATTTCAGAGGAAATAAGGACTCCTATTAAAGATATAAACAATATAACTTTCCTACTGCAAAATAAAATTTGTGCCGATGGACTCACCTGCACGGATCTGCCGACGGAAAAGGTCTGAGGCCTCCTGTGGTGAAACGGGAGCAGAAAAAACCAAAAAGGTAGGGAAACTGCATACAGTAAGAAACTGACTTACTTCAGTAGCTTTCTGGCTGAGACCCCGAAACAGCAGCACAATCACTTGGATGGCAGCTCTGCGCACTTGAACTTCGTGGTCTGTTTTAGCCACAGCAATCAGGCAAGCTGTTACCTAGGAGGGCAAGAAGAAAAGTCAATAAAATTCAGGGTTGCCCAATTACCTAAAGCTTTTCAACTATGTTCCACTTTCTACACATTCACCACAAACAATGTGGTGTAGAGAGAGGTGGATAGTTTCCTTATGCTCAATAAAGAGAGAGAGAGAGAGATCTAGTGAGAGAGAGAGATTTAGTCTAGCTTTTCCAGAAAAGGGCAAAATCTGGTTTGGAATTCAGAAGGAAAATTAGGGAGTCAGAAGGGATATGTGTATAAAACAAAGGGATGGTCAAGTATTTCCTCAAAAGTGGGAGGAAACGTTACTTGTGCCCCTTTGGGGATGCTAAATTAAAGGAAGGAAAGATGGTCCAAAACACAGTGGCTTCTAGGGAATGGGACTATGGGGATTTAGCTAAGTAGGCTTCAGAGTTCAAGGCCCAGCATGAATAGGAATGCGCCGCTAATGAAAAATTATAGCCCAGGGACAGAAATACATAAATATTCTAACGATCTTCTTCCGCATGTCTGGGGTGTCCTGGTCCTGCAAATCTAGCATACCCCACCATGTGAGCCACCCAGGGCCAATTTCAGAGTCTCCCCGGACTTCTTCATGTGTATAATAGGTCTTTCAGTGCTCATTTACTTTAAAAGAGCTCTATAACAGAAAAGAGTATAGATTACTAGCACAACATGGTGCCAGATATATAGCTAATAATTATATGCCATAAAATAAGAACGTTTCTAGACCCTGTTACTACCCTGCCCCCATCCCACTCCTAAGAACAAAAATATTTTAAAACCTCAATAAAGAGATATTACTAAAAACAATGGCAAAAAACCTTTCTGAGGCATTCATGCAAGATTTAAAAATTAAAAACAAAGATTTTGAAAGTGTGACCAATGGAACAACAATCTGAAGGTAAGTCTCAATTCTTCAACTGGCTTCTCACATACTTCGTTTATTGAATGAGTGTATTTCTTGGCCAACCATGGAAGGATTTCTAACCATGATAAAAAAAAAAAATAGCCAGATTGTGTATTTGGAAACATGTATAAATACATATTATGTTTAAAGAATGGTCTTTAAAAAGGTTTTAAAAAAGAATACAGGCACGAACAAGGAAATAGGCTTGTGCAGAAATTTTAACTATGCAGGTTGTATTTTTCACAGCTTTCAAACAGTTGGGCATAGTTCAAAGTGTCTAATTAATCAGTGATGGCAGAGAGATTAGAAGAAGTAGCTCGTTCTTAAATATAATTGCATCTGTGATGTACTGGCACTTAATCAAGTTGTACATCTATTAGACAAACTTGCATCTTGCAAGTGAAGGGAAATCCCAGGAAATCTCAACTCTTTGGGGGCTGTGTTTCAGTAAGATCCAGCAAGCTATTTCTGCTTTCGACCTGGGACACCCTGACCCAAGGCCATCAGTGGCTTCTATGCCCGTGGCATTAACGGTAGAAGCAATTCAGTCTTAGCAGGAATTCCTTGGGTAACCTCCAAACAGGTAACAATATAATAGCTACCTCCACTTGCAGGCTTAGTATTTACAAGGTAAGAGCTGAAATCAGAGAGACAAGTTAGAGCTAGGTCTGAGTCCTTCCTGACACAAAGAGGTTTAGCCTATTCAGTCTAGTTAAAGTACAAAAACCAGCCTGGAGCCACATAATGTGCAGATGCTCCCAAGCCTTTTGCCTGTCTCCCTCTGGGTTTAGTTTGGGGCCCACATTTCCACATTTGGTGGACCAAGACTTCCTGGACTCTGGCTTGGCCACCTCTGTGCTCCCACACTACACTGAGCACGTTGTGCCTCAGCTCCCAGTGAGTCCAGCTCTGGCTGTCAGATATTAATCCCACAATCAGGAGAGGCATAAGAATTCTGGCTGGAAAAGGGCTTGCCCTATAAGGCCAGTGGTGTAATCCTTGTGCCACTTTAAGGCATGGCTGAGAGAAGAGCTGGTTATTGCAAGCTTTGGTGACATCAGTTGGAATGGGCTCCTGCTTGCTATAGACTGTTATTTATGCACTGGAAAGGACCCAGTCCATCTGCAACCAGCCATCGAGGATGATCAGGAAGAGGCCCATAAAAGGAAGTGTGTTTATGAACCTTCCTCAACATCTCTGTCACAAAGACCAAATCCTATGAAACATACGATGGTCAATTATGCAAAATGTTGTTTTTTTTTTTATAAGTTTATTTATTTTTGAAAGAGAGAGAATTTGAACAGGGGAGGTGCAGAGAGAGGGAGACACAGAATTCAAAGCAAGCTCCAGGCTCTGAGCTGTCAGCACAGAGCCCAACACGGGGCTGGAACTCATGAACCGCAAAGTCATGACCTGAGCAGAAGTCGGATGTTTAACTGACTGAGCCACCCCGACGCCCTTTGCAAAATGTTTTTAAAGCATCGGAATTTTAATAAGGTCTTGCAGATACCATCTAGAGACGGGAACAGCCTTCTGTTCAGGTCATGGTCCCATAACGAACTTGTAATGTTGCTCTCCTGCAGGCCACAGAGGCAGACCCCTTGTCAAACCCTAGAAGCAGGGAGGATGCATGGCCACTATCTTCCATCTACCCAGTCGGAACAGGTCACTCCCATACTTAGACTCTCTCACCTTCAACCCCAAGGACACACTTAACATTGCTTTTCACCTCTAAAAAGCTTGGAAAATAGATAGATGATGTAAGGTCTTTACTTATTTATGAATTGGTGTGATATTTCTATTCTGTTCTGTTCCTAAATCCTCCCAGAGGACGAAACCCATCCTATGTGATCTTCATGTTGCCTGCCGTCAGGGTCAGTGTATCTATTCTAGTAAACCACACTGTGGAAGGCTCTCTTGTCGTCACTGCCTAAAACACATACCTCATATCCATTCTGAGAATCTTGCAAAGAGGAAGACGATGATTCCTCTGCAGACACTATAAGTCAGTTTAAGCAATTTAACACTTGATGGGAACCAACAGGAATAAGGAAAAACATCACTTCCCAAATAGCTGACACATACCAAGCATACTCAGAACTACATCAATAAAGATAATACAAATGACAAGATTGCCAAAAACCAACTTTGGAAAATTCCAGGAGAGAAGGTACCAGAGTTGAGATATGTATCTAGAAAGCAGGACTTCAATTTTTGAATTGCATTTTCATCCCTTTTCTTAATACTTTCTTTGGTAAAATTTCAGTTGGTCTACTTACTTAGGTGAAACTAGACCATCTACCCTTCTACTTCATCAACTAAGAAACCTAAGAATAAAGGCGGTACAGTCTCCAATTCACACGTGCTCAGCTTGCGCACTTAACCTGCCATGAAGGAGAACCATGGTGAGTCTGTTAGCTTCTGGAGGGTCTCCTAGGATGTGCACTCCAGTCCTCATCTCCTGGGCCCACGCAGCCTCAATGTGTACTTAGGGAACTGCATCAGTCATGGCGAAACTGGTAATCCAGTCGGATCATTCACTGGGATCAGACCTGGAAAGCTCAGGGTTATGAAATTCTGGGCACCACATTAAAAGTGGATTTCCCTATGGACTTCTCACCTAGGGCACATTTTACTTGCTGTACTGAGGATGGGCCTCTCGCTGTGGTTCCCTTCCATCATGTTTACTTTCCAGGGAGAGCGATAAGGTGAAAATGCCTATCAAGTTTTGATTTCAAGCACCACAGCTCTTAACAAGAATAAGGAGAATTAGGGAGAAATAACAATGCTCTCCAAACAGGTTAAATCTTGACATCAAGAGAGAGGAAAAACCTGAATTTCCAGCACAGGGACTGAAGGGGTTGATCCTATCTTTTATATTCCTTCCCTACCAGCAAATACCATCAAGAATAGACAGTGCCCAAATCTGGACCACCCAACAGGTAGGACAGCTTTCTTCAGATGCCCAATAGTTACAGCTACAGCCCTCCCAGGTCAGATCATGTTAGAAGAGATGATGGTGGTTTGTTCAATTTTATACCAAAACAGATTGCACCCCTCCTCTTCTCTGCTGCCTGACACTTGATCAATGTAAACTTCTTGCTGCCCTGGTAAGTCTGAGGGTCCCAGCTGTGTGTTCCCTCAGCACCTTTTGCTTATATCTGTCATATCGCTCTAGTCCAGTGTCTATTCATTCTTCTGTGTTTCCCATTCTACTGAGATTTCCTTGGGAGAAGAGACCGTGTGCTTCATCTCTATGCTCCAGTATACTTGGAACATGACAAATGCTCACAGAGAATTCCTTCAGTTTGCAGCCAAAGGCCGGTCTCCCCCAAGTTCCTCCTCCACCAGAACATACTACAAAAGAGTTAAGAGCTTTCATGGGACACTTAAGGAACTGTCACAGGGAATGACATAGTAATTTAAAAAAATAAGATCATTTCATTCTGCTGCTTTGGTTTCCCAACTCACTCAATGTAAAAGCCAAACTCCTTATGAGGCCCCATCAAGACTGCCATCACCTCTCTGACACACTGGCCTTGCTATTCAGTGCTATATGAAGCATGCACCTGCCCCAGGGCCTTTGTACTTGTTGCTCCCTGCACCTAGAATGCTCTCTTCCCAGTATCTGTCTCAACCAGCCCCTTCCTTCCTTCAGGTCTTACCTCAGGTGTTACTCATCAGTGAAGCTTTTCCTGTTCATCCAAGTTCACATACAATAACAAGTTCCCTTTATGCCCCTTCCCTTTCTAGATTCACTTCCTTAGCACTTACTCCATCTGACGCAGTCTATATTTATTTACTTCCTTACTTATTTGTGACCCACCTCCCCTTTCTAGAACATCAGCCACATAAGGAAAGGAACTTTGTTGTGTTCACAGCTGGATCCCCACCATCTAGCACACAGCTTGGTTGCAGTCCCTATAAATGTCATAGAGTAAGTGCTCAATAAACAGCTGTTGAAGGTATCAACAAATAAGTGAAGAACTACTTCAGAACCATGCCCAATATCCCCCTTTTCCCATGAGAATGGACAAGAGCGGTCTGACTATAGGAGGGCTCAATGGCTAAGATACTAAGGCTGTCAGGTG